ATTGATATTGAAGGATTCCAGGGCTAAGAATCAGACTTCTTGGCAGATCAAGTGTTTGTGCTCATTTCTTTAACTTTCTCCCTGTGCCACCTTAAGGAAGTCACTTTGGCTACTCCTGCTTCATTTCCTCCCCTATGAAATGAAGAAGAGGATACTTGCTCACTACTTACTAGCTCACTACTTACTAGCATTGGCTCTGAGTTAATGATTCGATTTGTGGAGCCCAAAGGATGGAAAACAAAATGCTGCGTCCTGCTCTGTATTCTGCAGCTGTGTTCAGTCTACAGAGGCAAGCATCAATAATTAAAAAAAAAGCTAAAAAGTTGTCCTAAGCAATGGAACAAGAAGATCTACTTTAAAAAGACAAAAAAGCAGGCCTTGCCAAGGAGGAAGATGGCATTTAACATAGACAGGTTTTTTTTGTCTTTTCAGAGAACAACTGTAGTTGCTTTGCCCCCCACCCAGGACTCATGCCTACATCTTCACAAGTATCTCGTCACCTCATTGCCATAACTATATAGGATTCACATAAAGTTACCCCCATTTAAACACTTACATTTTGACAGAAAATTGGATGATATGACACACTGCCTTCTAGAACAGGCGCTGTCTATCACCTTGCTGCTAATCTCTGTGATTAGTGACCTGCAATGTTAAGTCAGCTATCAAAGACCACCTGTCCCTTTTGCTGTAAGCGCCTCCTCGCATATTGCTTTGTGGTGTCACACTCCCTTGTCTGGGGTTTGATTGATGGAAGTTTGTCTTTTGAGCGGTGACTCAGAAAATAAATCATTCCCCCTGCCATTCATTGAGTGCGATTCTGCTGCACAAAGCCAGTGTGGTTAATCAAAGCTCCAAAGAGCAACAAAAAGCAACAGAACTGAGAATGAGGCGGATAGATATAAAGGATAAAGCATAATAAAAGGGATTATTTGAGAGCCAAGCAGAGCAAAAGCAAAATAGAACTGCAAATAAACATTGCATTTACTGCGTCGGAACCAGAAAGTTTGTTTTTTTCCTCCACTCCTTGAAACATGCACGAGGATAAGAGAAGAGTCAAGCCCCATGTCTCTAGAAAATATAACTGTGTTGAGGGGGCTGATTCCCTAGGCTGTAGCGTGTGAGTAACCCTGGCTGAATTCAGTGGGATTTTCTGAGTTGAGTAAGCAAACCCTAAAGCGTGTTTCTCATATTATCTGTGAATTGCATCCCAAACTAGTTTGCTGCTACCCAGACAGCTGACAACAATACAAAAGGGTAATTCTATTAACTGTCCTACAGAAAGAGAGGTGGAATTTGATAGGAATCAAATTGAGCCAGAAGCACTTCATTACAGGACAATAAAGTTCCTTCCAAATAAATATATATATATAGTGCAGAAGAGTCCTTTGCTAGTATGGATGCTAGTATGGATGGAGCAGGAGTCATGCGACAGAAAGGACAGTATTAGATAAACTGTAGAGAGGGCGAGAGGGAGAACAAATCTTGCTTTGTTTACATAGACTGCAGCAAATTTATGGGAGATGTTTAAGTAATGAGGAGCAATCTTTAGCCAAGGACTGGAAGACACTGATGGTTGAGCACGTTACCAGGACAAATGTGGTTTTTTGAATTCCCTATGTGCGAAAGAAGTCAGGGGAAGATGAGAGATCTTGATGCCATGGGTGAAACTGCAGCAGAAGTAGAATCCAGGCAGCAGGAGTGGCACAAAGAAATAAATAATGTTTCAAAGAAGCACTATGGTGCAAATTTGCTGCTGACACAACTCCATGGAAAACAAGGTATCTGAAACCTCTGGGAAGCTGGCCACAAAATGAGATGACAAGAATTGCATGTCCGTGGAGTGATACTGGGAATTTACTTAAGTCAGTTAAATGCAACCATTCTTTCTTTGAAAAAAAATATAAGTAAATAAATAAATAAACTCGATTATGTGTTTTGGGGGTGATATTTCCATTGGAAAAGTGCCTCCTTACGAGCAGCAAGGAGAAGGAAGGGCTGAGGAGAGTTAAATTTATAAAGACATGAATGAACTGGGAATTGCTGCACTGCTCTAGAGGAATGTGTGTGTGAATGGTGCAAATTTACAGGGCTATTTTTGATGAACTGTAGGAGGAATTTGAGTTTTTCCACGCCTTTCTTTACAGAAAGAAAACCTTCACCTTTTGGGAATCCAGTCAATTTCCTGATTTTTATTTTTGGCTATTTCCTAAGTCACAAATTTACTAATGGTAATTACAGACCCTGTTTGTACCTGGTGGGTTCTAGCTGTGCGAGGAGGCTTTCTTGGCACATGTAAGTCTCCTGCTAGAGCCTTTTTAAATGATTTGCCCTCGGTAGGAATTACTACAATACTCCTCTGTAGATAGAAGCCACCTTTCCTCATTTCTTTCCTGCAGAATATAGTAACTGCTTTGGCCTCTTATTTCACTGTTTCCATCCCCCATGACAATAAACCACAATTTCAGTGTTCATTATAACAGCTCTTCATTACAGTGCTCTTGTGAAGGAGCCTGTTTTTAAGAAGGTTTATTAGGAGCTATAATTTGCTCCTTCAGAGGATTTTGTGCAAATAGTGGTAATATAAAGGTGATAACTAACTCAGTAAGAGTTGGAGGGAAAAAAAAGATAATTTTTCAAGGAAAAAAACTTCTTTTTTAAGGTAGGAAGACAATGCATTAAAGATAAATCAAGTTGGTAGGATGTTATGTTCCTTTTCCTGCTCTGCATTGTGAAAATGCTATGATTTCTGATTCAATATAGCAAAAGGGAATTTTACAAATCTTAGTATATCAATCACACACGATTCATATGTTTAACTTGCCTTTAGTATAATACCTTTAATTTTGCTCTTGCTTCTTCATGAAGGCCTTGTTTTTTGCACCTTGTTCTGCAAGGTACTTAGTGTGAATTTTGGTCGTTGAGCAGTCCCGTTTGTGTTCAGTACATTCAATTTATACGGTCTGAATTTAAATCTTTGAGTTCACCAAGTTTAAACACATGTTTAAAATCAAACTGGTGCTTGAATTCTCTGACTAAACTACAACTCAGTTGTAACCAACTTCCCCCACACTCCTTCTATTTGTGTTTGATAGTTTCTGTGTGTTTTGCTGACAAACAGAAAGTGTGAACTTGGTCTGCTGCCATCACTGGAACTGACTGAGATAAAATGCAGTGATTTTTTTTAATTATTATTTTTATTTTTAAACAGTGTCTTAATTCAAGGGAAGAAAGCCACAGAAAATGTGCAGGCCTTTGGAACTGGGTTCTATCCTAGTAAAGTTCAATTTGGAGGTTAAATGGAGAAATTCCAGAGAACAGTTATACTGAATTCACCACTGGAAAAATAGGAGTGGGACCCTCCTTCTTTCTACCCAGTTTTCTGTGCACCTTATACCCATCCTGCAAGTCTTGCTCTGGAAGCAGTCTCCAGCTCTGGAACGCGCTCACACTCGTGCCAGATGGATCCCAGTTGGAGTGTGAGAGTTGTGGAGCAGTAAAATTTCATTAGTAAATTTGGGACTTAGCCTTTCAAGAGTTACTTCATGAGAGTAACTTTGAGAGTTATTTCATAACTCTTTATATTTCATTTTCCACTGGTACCAGCAGTGAAGCTCCTCTTACAACTGGATTCCTCTCACTCATTTTAGATCTATGAGTCCCATGATCCCGCCAGTTCCTTCTGCAATCAAAAGACTTGAACCTACTGGACATTTATTGGAAGTTTTTAGTTTTCTTTTTGCTTTTTTTTTGGAAGGGGGGGTGTTGTTTTGTTTGCTTGTTTGTTTTTGAAGGTGGTTAAGATGTTTTGCTCTTTCAAATCAGTCTTTTGATTTTGTGATAAATGAGGGTGATCCATTCCTTGACAATACATCTTCATGTATATTTCATCCAAAAATAGGCAAGTAATCATAAGTGTTTTCTGTTCTGCTTCATTTCTGTTTTTCAGTAGTGTTAGTACATGATGGTAGGTTGATGTGGCATTCATAAACTTGATTTCTGTTTTTTAGTGGTCCGGAAAGAGGAGTTTTCAGTGTTTTATTTGTGCTTTTTTTTTTCTGTGTGTGGGTTTTTTTTAATTCTTTTTTCTTTTTTTTTCTGGATATTTTGCCTCATGCATCAGTTTAGGTAATCATAAATATATCTTACTTTGTCGCTGCAAGTCACTGACACTTTTCTTTTTCAGTGCCTTATGCTGCAATAAATAAACTTAAAGTGAAAAGCCAATTTACTTCATTAATCATTTTGGCAAAAATACTTCTATTATAAGTTTTATTTCTGATAGCAGCTTTCTTTGTGTGCTTACATGCCTGCATATTCACACTGATGTTCCCACAGAACAAATCCCAGACCATGTTGTTATGTGCATGATCATTTATTTGCAGTTTCCCAGTTTTCCCAGCTCCTATAAGTTCTAGCATGTTTTCTACAATGTAAAGAGGACCCCAAAGAACAGGAAGACATCTGCATCTGAGTTCATTCTATATCTCACTCCTTTGTCCCTTTTCTCTCCATCTCTCTTCCGGCTTGCTTTCTTACACCATCTCTTACGCTTTTATTCTCATCCTTGTTCTCTTGAAGGTTTCATGGTGTCCTCTGCATGCTCCAAAAGAGACATTTCAGCATACACTGGTTTCCCAGGGCTGAGGTGACCGATGCATGCAGAAAACGTGTCTCCTGTAGGTATCTGAATCACTTCCTGTGGAAACAGGACACGAAAGAGAAATCAGCCATCAGCTCCAAATGCCTGGGCACTTGCTCAGTTCAGACAGATGCAGGCTGTCATGTGTATGTGTCCCACTAGCTGTTGCAATTATAAGCAAGCGCTGAGTCACACATAATTGAATCTTTCTTTCCATCAGTAATTGTTCTAAGAGGGTTTTCCTGTAGTCCATTAAGTAGCATTTATTTTCAGGATAAGGATGCATAAAAAAAGCCACCTAGGCTTCAGGCATCCAGCGACATGAACCTAGATCCCATTTATTCCTTCCTCTCTTTCAGATTATTCCGATCTGATCACCACGCAGCTGTCGTTATTTTAATGTTGAACACTCAGACAAGAGTGCCATGGATGTGAAGGAAAGGAAACCGTACCGATCTCTGACGAGGCGCCGCGACACGGAGCGCCGCTACACCAGCTCCTCAGCGGAGAGCGAGGACAGCAAGGCGCCCCAGAAGTCCTACAGCTCCAGCGAGACCCTGAAGGCTTATGACCAAGACTCCAGGTTGACCTACAGCAACCGCGTCAAAGACATGGTGCACCAGGAGGCCGATGAATTCTGCCGAACAGGTAAGCGCGTTGCAGCCGGTCCTGCGGTGCACAAAGTGCTTACGGACACGGGCTTGGTGTGGGCTGGCATGCAAATGAAGCCTGAGTTTAACAAGGCTGGATCACAGGAGTGATGAGTATGCAGAAATCCAGAGGTCGGCATGGGCTCCACAGTCCTAGCAGAGATGCTAGACATCTTTTTTTCCCCCTCTTTATTGCTAGGCTGAAGTCAGCGCAGTGACATTTCCACTGCTGTTGTTGCCTATGTGAGGTCAAGTTCTAGCTTCTGCTACAGTCTCATCTTCATTTTTCTGCAGAGACGTATGAGTGTCTTGGTTCAGAAGTCAGGCAGGGTTGCACATCAATTATTTTTAGAAGTCCGTCCAGAAAAGCATAAAATGGCAAATCAAGTCAAATGGAGTAGGCAGGATGCCAGACAACGAACATGAAGAGCTGACCTAGACTGCTATTAGTGCACCCTGTGCATTTTGGAGAAACTGATTCCCTAAAGGGAATGCATATAACTGCATTCATTTAACTTGGGGGCTGCTTAATCTTGCTCTTTGAGTATCATGTGGTTGTGGTTTTGGTGCAAGACTCATCTGTACAGCATGCACAAAAAAGATTAGTTGCAGAAGTATCCCTGTGCAACATAGTCTTGCCATTTGTATTTTGAGAAAGCTGCAACAGACTATAATTAACCAAAGGACCAATAGGTGTTGTAAGCAACACTTTGCACTCACAAAAGCAGTTTCCTTCTGAGCAGCTCTGAAGTACTTCATAATCACTAAAGAACCTAAGAAGCTATAAAGAAAAGGAAACCTTTTAGGTCACTGAGTTTTCTCACTTCATACAATATATTCACCACACAGGATAGATGTGAATTAGTATAGGTCGGTGGTTTTCAACCTGAGGGTCTACGAGGTCCTGCCGGTCCATGGACTTCTACTAAGAAGCCTGCAAAAGATAAATAAGAAAAGCCAAACTTTGACAGGGAGCATCAATTTGCTATACAGAAGTTCATACTTCCCCAGGAAAATTTTTGTAGGGTACTGAAAAATGGTGGAAAAAAAATGTATTAGTCAATGTGCTGAAATTAATTGAGAAGTTAAGATTAACCAAGCCAGTGCTCCTGTTATACTCCTGATATATCAACCACAGATTTTTCATTTTATAATTTTCTCGCAGTTCATCCTGAGAGTCCTTAGCCTGGCCTGAGAAGTGGTAACAATTACCCCAGATATTCTGTGGCACAATTTCTATTGGCACAAAGCCATGAGCACACCTCACTCAGCGATGCCTCTTGGGCTTGTGCCAGCTGAAAACCAAGCCCTGTGAGCTTGCTTGACATCGACAAGGCAAGGCAAATTTCTTTCCAGCATTAGTTTGGAAAGCAGAAGAGGGAAGCATTTCAAATTGACCAAATAAATTCAGTAAATAAACAAGTCAGCATTTAAATGGTTTTAGCTAGAGTGAGAGTGCCAGCAAACGTGCAAGTCAGCACAGCAAAAAATAGACCAGACCTGAATTAAAAAGTCTCAGATATTTATTATCTTCCTTTTATTGACTTGAGTTCTTCCAGCTTAAAAGGCAACACTGAACACAGAATATGAAAATCGATGCATCTCCTGCTGTTTATTGCAAATAAATTTGATTTTCAGTTAATTGTAGCAGTCATTTTTCATAATTTATGAGCTGTTGTTACTGGAGAGCATCCGTCACGATGCACACTGATGTGCCTGATGAGGTTGAGTGTGGCTTATTGCAGGGGTAGGTGGAACTCAGAATCATTGGCTCCAACACACAGCGTGCAAGCAAAGAAAAAAAAAAAAAAAGATTACATTGTCCAGTATTCCTTGGAGGATGTTTTTTTAAAACTACCCTGTCTTTGCATTAAGGGCAAAACTGGAAGAGAAGAGCCAGGTTTATGGGAAAATACTGCTTCCTTTCTTCTATAACTTAAGTCAAGCTCATCTGCTACATTATGCCATGGAGTAGAAGACGTTTCTCCCAGACAGTTTCACAGATGAGTGAGATGGATTAATTTGGCACAACCTTACACTGCATTCCTTGAGCCAGGCTCTAAGGCTTGACAAAGCTGTGAGCATCGAGCATCCTTATCTGTCCTCTCTGAAAGCTTTACCCTTGCTTAGTCAATTAAGAAAGTGTGAAGTTCATGAATGCTTTATACTATTGGAGTGTTATCAGCTGTAGATCTATACCCAGCTGAAACATGGTTATTTTTTCCATACATCAAACAGTTCTTTCCCTGAACCTTATGGGGAAATGCAGTCAAGTCCCACTGGCTCAATTTTCACCTTGCATCCAAGCATCTTCTCTTTGTTCAGTGGGAGCTGCAAAATTAATGAAAAAAAAGTATAGTAAAGCAGCAGCTACTTGGGGCCAGCTGATCATTCAGTGCAAAAAATATATATAAATATATATAGGAAGAAATCTTCCTCTTGCAGCAGAGGTTTGTGGCAAGCCAGAGCATTTCCTCAAAAAACAACCTCTGGAAAGATAGAAAGCTGTCTGTTTGCGTTGGATGTGCATTCAAAAATGGGCTATTTAACATTAACAAAAGGGAACATGAGGAGAATGATGCACTTCAGTGTGGTTTTGAGCAGGGAAAAGTGTATAACTCCATTTTGGATACATGCTTGAGGTCTAGGATGGGTGAATGGGTTGCAATAATGTGTAGATATGAATTTTAGTGCCTACAGCTAGATGTGGATCTGAATTTTCCTGAGGATCACACATTCAGAATAAACTTGAAAAAAAAAAAAAAAAGTCAGAAATGAAAACCTTGTTCTAAAATTGAGTCTGTAGTCCATGCACAGTTTGGGCAGATTTGGGCTCCCCTGCAGGGGATTTTCCTGTTGAAATAACATGAGGAAGCCAGCTTAGACAAAATTGGATTGCTGGTGTTGGTATTTGGCCATGATCCAGAGCTTGATGCCTCCTACTGGTTAAAGATACATTTATTTTAATCCATCCTATCAGGCCTACTGGAACAGGAGCAGCGCTGCATTGAACTTGTAAATGCACAGTGCAGATCAAAGCATTCATGGGTGGCCAAAGCCTTTTAAAGACATTCAGTCTTGAAAAATAAAAGCTTGCATTAATAAATAAATGTGGATTAAAATGGAGCCACTAATTGCTCTCCCCAGCTTTCTAGCACAACTTTCTGAACAAAGTGTGCTAATATCTGAATCTTCCTTCACACTGATTTGGGCTGATTTTGAAGCACTGCAGGTAACTAGATATGCACTCGAGTCCTTTTTCTGGTTGTATTTTTAGTCAGCTAAACAATTACATCTATTTGCAGCCAAATATCCTCCACTGTGATTGTGTCAATATGAGTAGCTGAACTGAGTCAACTCATGAGTGGTCAGTGAGAACAAAGCGAGATCGCCAAAAGAAACTTAAATCATCAGTATGTAATTTCAGTGATTTCAACAAAAGGAGCTCTTCCAACTTTCACATTTTCTATTGTGTTAGAGTTGCTAGGTGTACTCTATGTTTATTCCATATCCGATTTCCCTTTTTTTTCCCAAGATGAGTATTTTCTGCTGTCTTAAAGAATTCTACCATCTCTTCATCCCTCTCTGCTTTCAAATTTGATGTTTTTATTGAACTAGCTCTGAGTTGTTGTTGGAGGTGAGGTTCCTGAGGCAGGAATCCATCTGCTTTTTGGTCTTGGCAAAGTGACTTTGTATCCCAGATTATTTGTTCTTCAGAAAATCGGATAATAACGATGAATACTCCCAGTTTCTGTGAACTGCACCGTGATGGATAAGGTTGATACCCAGTAGGGTTATGATACAGGTGTCGAATTGCTCATTGCATCGAGGTCCATACATGTCAAGTGAATCCTTGGCTGCCACAGAGGCAGCAATTTGCTTTTGAAATCTGTGAGGTATCCAGAAGCCCCTGGATACCTTGTCAGGCTTTGGCCATGGTCACTAACCAAGCCCCCAAAACAGGAATTTTTTTGGTGTGATATTTGGTCTCCGGAGCTGTAATGTTCCACAAGAAGACGGCAGCTGACCGGTTCTGCCATCGGTTTGTTCTAGACAAAACCATCCTTATTGAAAAGTAACCACAGCGCTGCCTTCTCCCCCAGGAGCCAACTTCTCCTTGCGAGAGCTGGGCCTCGAAGACGTGACGCCCACGCACGGGACTTTGTACCGCACCGACCTGGGGCTGCCCCACTGCGGCTACTCCATGAGCGCCGGCTCGGACGCCGACACCGAGGCCGACGTGGTCATGTCGCCCGAGCAGCCCGTGAGGCTCTGGGGACGCAGCACCAAGTCCGGCCGCAGCTCCTGCCTCTCCAGCCGGGCCAACTCCAACCTCACGCTCACCGACACGGAGCACGAGAACACTGAAACTGGTGAGTGGCGGGCCGCGCGGGGGC